TTGATCAGCAGCCATAGCCGAGTGGATCTAGCCATGTCCGTCTGTCTGTTACTATGCGAACTAGTCCCTCAGTTCTAAAGCTGTCGCCTTGAAACTTTCCGGATGTCCGTCTTTCTGTTGCAGGCAGTAAATATGGCGAAACATGCCGGATCAGAAATGAAGTTCTTTTATGAACAAGCTTTTGGTCTCTTGACCAAACTCGGCATTTATAGGTTTTACTTTGTTCCCTACATATATGCTAAATCTTATGCCAAAGGCATGATTGTTCGAAAATTATGTTCTTTAATGGCAAAATATTCTGTTTTTCAAGGATCAGCTTCATTATTCATCAAACTCAGCTTCATTATTCTTACATATCTGCAAAGCTGTCAGCAAAATGTCTACAAGACTACTAAATTATGATAAAAAAGAATAATAAAATAAACTAACATATTGAGATATATATCAGACTAGCTGGTACATTCCACTCTTGTCCTGACCTGTTTCCCTGTTTCACAAAGATCTTTGAAAATTGGTTTGAACCTCTCCGAATGGATGACAAAAAAGTTGAATATAACCAATTTCCTAAAACCGGGTCACTTGGGTTGTGCGTTGATCACCAATCAGAATAAACAGTTTAATTAATGAAGATGATGAAAATAAATAAACAAAAGATTGTCAATGAAAAGGTTCATTCGTCGAATAAATTTATTTGTTTGCCCACGAAAGGAGTTTAATAGAATTATTTAACATATATTACAGCACTATATCTATACTATATTTTAGTTCGTAATTACTAAATCCCCACGAAATATGCTTAGCAAGGATTCTAAAGTATATTTAAAAGCCATAAATTGGATTACTAAAGAGGCAATTGGGCATGAAGAAAAGGTAAAAGGGTTTCAAAACCATTCGCAAGTTAAGGGATAGAATGTTTGACTTAAGTAGACCGTATGATAAATCAGCAACTGCTTCAGCAATCAAAGCACAAATGAGGCTTTTATGCATTATCGTTAAGTGTTTCAGTTTTTAAGCCTATTAAACCGCAGTGGCAAAAGGATTGTGAGCCAAAGATGACTAACAAACCAAAAAGTAAAAAAAATAAAAAAGAAAGGGTTGAGTTGCAGTTTTAATTACTAGCAAGCAACTTGACGCAATTGGATACAAAACCCATTAAAAATTGAAAATGCCAAGCGGCGGTGCGTGGTGAGGATAGGTGATGCGCCTGCCCATGGCACCCCAACGGGCAACAACTGAAGTGGCAAGCTGTCATGGAGCAAGAACAATGCGACGACATTGGGGAGCAGAAATAGAGATACAAATACACACACACAATTACAGAGCTGAGGCCCGAGTCAGTCAGATTTGAGGCGCAACTAATGAGTGACCGAGAAGGGCGGAGAAAGACGGAACTTAAGTCCATTGGCACGGCCGAGCACCTTGCTCGAAGGGAATGTCTCAAGTCAACCGGGTCCAGCAGCCAACACTTATTTTAATGAGAAATTCTAATTTCACCAATGATACAAAAGACCCTTGACAGCGAGGAAAATGCGCAAAAAAATGTGGCTGATATTTGTGTTTATTTTTTTGGGGGGCTGCAACTGCTCTGTGATTGCTTTTTGCCACTCGTCCGTGACGAAAACAAAGAGCCAAGTTCCCTCTTACGGACCAAAACAAAAAAAATATAGCAAAAGCAACTGCAAATAAGCAACAAGAAATTGCCTGCCTGAAAAATTCTGAGTATTTGCTAGGCTGCAATTAAATGAAATCCCGCTTCGACTTGAAGGTGCTTCGAGCAGGCTGAGGCTGGTAATAACCATTGCAATTACTTGATTTGAGGGTAAGTCGAGTTGGAATAGATCTCTGCCAGTTCCTTGCATAGTTTCTTATGCTTTTCCTTTTGATTTTTGACCATTTGCAAATTTATGCAAAACTCAATCAAAATTACAGGAAATTAATATGCAAACGTCATGTGTACAGGACATGGAATACTCGTATTTATCATGTCGAGTAGTTTAATTAAACTAAATCCCTTGAAGCATCGACAGAACATCCATGCTGGCCACAGGAGAGCATAATAAAGGGTTTGACAAGTTGTCAATGCGGCCGTAATAACAAAAGGACAGCAACAGGACAACAACAAGACACAAACGAGGCAGAAAATGTTGCGAAAAATCTCAAGAAAATCAACTTAAGGTAATATTTGGCGACACAAAACAAGCAAATAAATAAGTGAACGACTTGGCAACACATAACACATAAAATTACTTAAATTGTAATAGCCTTGCTGTTTGTTTCCTTGCAATTGGCTGTCAAAAATCAAAGACATCCCAGCAAAATACCAAACGGCAATGCAAAAACTGTAAGATGTGTGCAGCAGCTGGAAAAAAGAAAAGGAACTGGGCGTAGCTCCCGGATAAAGTTGTCATGTAAATACTAAACTCTATGAATCGATCTACCCACTTCACACGGAACAATACACGGCCAAACAATGCTCGGAATTTCTTGTATTAAAATCGAAATTGCTTGAACCACCCTCAGACATGCAGAGCTATGTCTGCTCCTAGACGGAGCTATATAAGTCCCAGAGTTATTGTTGTTGTTGTTGTTGGAGCGGGAAGAGGAGGAAGAGGAGGATATTTGGATATGCTGCCCATACAGCTGTCAACATGTTTAATTGAAACTGACACTCAGTGTCATTTTATGGCCATTGCCATGCGTTACCTTAACTGTAACTGTAATTCGACTTGGCCCGAGTCTTGGCTTGATTATTGCGGCAAATTCCTATCCACTCAGTGAGTGGTTCGGTGGTTGGGTGGTTGGCCGATGGGCCTCTGAGTCAGTTGTATATTAGTTAAATTTATGGTTGACAATCTTGCGTGTGCGTGTGTGTGTTTAGTGGCATGTGTGCTTTGACTTAGTCTTATTTGATTTTGTGGGCATTTGATAATAGAACATCATACCCTAACATAAATATAGGGTATATTTACAAAATTTAATAGAAAGAAGGCACTTTCGACCACACAAATCTTAAGTGTTGGGCATTTGGATATCTTTTTATTTTAATATACAATTTTTGATTTAGCTGGCTCTAGACCTTGGAACTACTTGTGCTTTTGTTTAATCACAATTATAACTTTTTCTCTAATGTATTTCGACTCTCCATGGCGACTCTCTTTGACTCTCCTTCGCTTCTTTAATTTGAAACTCCAATCTATCTAATTCTGCGCATTTTTCTGTATGAAAATCCTAGAGACAATATGATCTCATTTAAAAAATGCTTTCTAACCCAAAAGTGTGCAGCTAGCCGATTGTTACGCTGTGGGTTTAATTTTGTTCTTCGACCCAGGGGATCTTTCAATCTCTGTGGAGTACGCGTAAAACGGAGCTCCTGCCATCCTGGGCAGAGTCGAACTCTGGAGGGATTGCGCTCTTTTGCGATTAGATGGAGCACCCAAGCCCCAGATATGTATTACGTATCGCCAGGTGGATGCGTCAGCTTGCAGGTGATGGAAAGTTTGCTACGGTAGTTAAGGAGCTATTACGGGAGCGTAAACAGTTCCTTTGATGTGGCTAGCGAAAGCTAGGCGCTTGTCAAGGATGACACCCAGGTATCTTGTTTCTCCCTTGCTTTATGGTAAGTCCGTTTAATCTCAGAACTGGCGGCACTCTTCGTCTTAATGTGAAGCAAACTGTGGATCTTTTTGCCGGACTTAATCTTACGTTCCAGCGTCGAGTCCAGTTGCTGAAAAGGTCCAGGTAATCCCAGGCTGAAGCCATTCGGAATGAGCGCGAAGACAGTCCAGAGCATGGGCGTCTGGAGCAGGCTTGTCTGGGAAGAAAATAGGGAGAGTACGCTATCTTGCGGAACGTCAGCTCGAATGCAGTGGGAGGGAGACTGCTCCGCCCTTACTTTAACCCTGAAAGATGGACCCTGCAAGTAGGATCGGATCAGGGTAAAGTAGGGCGCAGGCAGTCCGCGATTCATACATTTCTTTTTTTTTTTGTCCAAGGAAAGAACTTGTTTTTTATTTATTTTTCTCAGTTGCGCAGAAGTACTCAGCACTTCGACTCGGACAAGTACTCCGAAAATTTGTTGTATAATTACGAGGGTGGTTGTCAACCACTCGATGTCATTTTAACGCCACTGATTTATATTATTTGCTCAAAATATCAGCGTAATTCCTTTGACAAATCAATTGGCAAATGCCACTCGATGGAGCCACAGAAGGCTAAGGGCTTTTAGTGACCTATTGGCGATGACACCTCTCCACGGAAATGTTTGCCGATGTCCTTGAGACTCAATAGGCTCTGCCGGAGTGTAAAACTTGACACTTGTTGGCGCAACAGATCAAAGAGGAAGAAGCTGTGCGCGGAGTGCATACAAAGTGCAGAAACTTGGCGATGCAATGATTTACTCATGTACATATATTATTTTAGATATGTTTATAGGAAATTCAATCAGCCTTAAACAAACATATTAGGAATTTCAATTTATGTAAAGTAGACACAATTTTAAACCCACAAGGGACAACTTGCGACATGGGAACGCTTCTTGGGAGCCACACGAAACCACACATAAAACAAACGTCAATTTATTGTGCATATTTCAGTGAAGTTTATAGGAATGAAAAAAAAGATTTCTGGTATATCGGCAGCTGACGGCACCTGGCAACACATGGCTCGGCTAGTTAGGCCAAAAGGGGAAAAATCCCTTGCTGAATTTTGCGTTTGACTTCAAATTTCATATGAAATCAAATAAAGACAAATAAATATTCAGTCTGCGAATATATAATTTAAATTCCTCTTCAATTTAACATAAAGCCAAACGAATAAGGTAATATTCCATAAACTTAGCTATAATATTGCCAAAAGTTACAATTAACTTTGTTGCCCCTATAAACCTATATAAATTTTTGAGCTTTATGTAATTGCGAAATATAACTCAGTTGCGCGCAAGTCAAAAAAACATACAAAAAACTTAAACACAGTTGGCAGCTCTCAGTAAATACAAAAATAATAATTCACTTGCTGTCTAAACAGATCTAGATATTAATATAAACTATATTTAAACAGGCTACAAATAATGGAACTTAATGAGCGCATGCAGGAAAATATTGCCGCTTCATGGAAGGCGTGGCAGGCGCTGCTGCTCTGGCACAACTGGCGCAAGACGGCGCTCTTCTTTTGCCTCATGTTGACGCTGCTCCTGGACATGGCGTCCAATCCGGTTATCAGCGTGGTGAGCGTGGCCGGTGCGATAGCCATCTCCATAAGCATTTGCTATTCCTGCTATGTGTGGGCCATGCGAAAGCTGCGTAAGAGTAGCCTAGTGGAGCATCCTTTGAAACGCTATCTGGACATGGATGTGACGATTTCAAAGGAGGCCGCCGAGCATCTGGCCTATATCCTGGCCCTTAAGCTCAATCCAATACTGTTGCGCTTGCGCTCACTGTTCCTGGTCGAAGATCTGCTCGACTCACTGAAGCTTCTGATGATGCTTTGCGGCCTTAACATTGTGGGCGACTATGTCAATGGAATGACTATCTTGGTGCTGGGTAAGTGAAATAATTCCTAAAAAGCAAACAAAGGCCATCTTCGGCAGGCCAAGGCTTAAATAGGAGGAGAATTGTGAAGCTAGTAATTGCTGCGTTTCTACACAAAGGGCATACAAATAAGATTTATTATCCCACGCTATTACAGCTTTCGTGCTGCTCTTCACGCTGCCCAAACTGTACGAATGGAAGAAGAAGACCATCAACAAGCAACTGCAACAATTGCAACTATTCAAGAACCAGCTACTGACCCCCAAGAGCAAGATCAACGCGGTACCAACTGCCACGGTTGATCCACAGGTTATGGAAACAGATCTTAACCAGAAGGCCAACTACATGGACAATGAGCTCGACAATAACACTGGACAGTTTATATCCTTTGAGCAGGACAGCGGGCAAGACTATACATCCGATCACAGCTGGCAGACCTCGGACACGCACATTGAGGGTTTCCAGCACATCAAGCAGTCGTAATTATCTAACCAATTCTAAACGCGTTTGTCAAACAGAGGCTCCCAAAACGTAGGCTATCGAAATAAATTCAAATTCTGCGTCAAAGCCTCAAAAACTCCGTTTCATGATTGCAATACACCAAAATTAAAGAGCTTTTCACTCTAACAACTCTATTACCTTATATTAACAAACTCTGATACTCAACAATATTCAAAAAAATACTTTATTGCTTTTTTGAAACGAGTATCATGTTTTAAAGAAATTATATTAAATTAAATAGCAAGCAAAAATTTATTTAAATAATTAGAGACTGCAAAAAGTAGAATTTAAAAGATTTCTAAGGAAAACGAAAATATTACGTTTAATTCGATTGACATATTTAATCTGATGAAGAAAACGGCAACATATTCCTATGTGATGCTGAAATTATAAGAATATTGAAGAATTTTCCATAACTGGGTTGCATAAGCAACTAAATTGATTTATAATCAAACCCTCTTAAACTTAATGCAAAATCCAAACAAATAGCGAACTTATGCTAAATTTATATATTTTTTGGCAGATTGTGTAGCAACGTCTTGGAAGTCAAGCCCTATAGTCAAGAAACTATAGCTTCAGCCGGGAGAGAAGTGCATAACCTCCTCATTACATTAAAACTAATAGTAAGAACTATATCCAGCTGGCAAGTCATAAATTCTGCAGTGCCCGCCCACAAGTGTCAAAAAGCTTTTCACACATTTTGAATTATCATCGAAAACAACAGAGGCAACGATCTAGAAAGTTGGATGGGATTTTACTATGAATAACATTTATATTTTATATATTTGTTACACATTCCCAAAAACTTCAAGGCACTTTTATAGTGGCGACGATGCGTTTTTATACGCCAAATTTGCCGGCTGGTCTGCCGGCGAGTGTCGTTGATGCCATTAAAAGGGTCTTCGTTTTATCGATGCAGTGCAGCAAAATGTAAATCGTATGCAAAATGCCATTAAAAATATGTATATACATGCGCGTACATATTACAAATGCCAAACCGCAGCGTCTACGGCTCTGTCTATAAAGCGAGCGCCGTAAATGGCTGACGAGCGCTGTCCCAGGTCCAGGAGAGGTAATTAGTTTTTGGCCCATGTCTGTGGGCCGCATAAAAGCTGTCCCTCTTCTCGTTACAGCCGCCCCCTCATGTAAGCCGTAAAAGTGCTCAACAGACTCGAATCTAACCCACAGTCAGTCGGGCGATTCGTCAATCAGCTGAGGCTTCGACTTGCTACTCTGAAGCTGGCGCCAATCGCATTTGGGATAAAAATGAAGGATTTGTTTAGTTTTTATTGCCGCGCGTAAATGTCATAAAAATGTTCTGTAAAATGCAACCAGCTCATATAAGCCCTCATGCGGAATATGCTTTTATGGTTGGCGCTTTTAAGGTAATTGCATTAGATTTATTTGCGTAATTCTGGATATTTTACATTTAGCAGAGCTCAGTTTGGATAAACGGAAATCGCAGGCAGCAATAAGCAATGGGTGAGCTTGAATAATACTCATACAGGTAAGATAAATACACTCACTTATTCATTTGCTTATTTACTTATTCGTAGTATTCAGACAAAAGTATTCTTTTCTGATCTTTAATAATAATATACAGGAATAGTCTTAATAGGTACATGTTACTGTATTTCTAATATTGCGAAAACAGAGGGAGAGTGAGCGAGAAAAAGAGAGGGTGCTGGTTCGAGTTTTCCCATTTAAATCTGAATGACTTTGCAGTAGCAGCAGCAGGCGTTCATGTGGAAAATTACATATGCAAATCCCACATAATTATCAGGAGAAGCTCTTATAATACAACCACTTGGTTTTCAGTAGGTTTCCAAGCTTAAAAGCAAACAAGAAAATTGCGTTAATTTTTCATTCAGCTGCAATGCAAGAAGTGTTTGCCAGAGGAAGGGGCTGCGGCGGCGTCACTAGCTCATTTATCAGCGTTGTCAGTAAGTCAGTTGGTAGAATTTAAATAATTTCAAAATGATGACACGAGCTCTTTTCTGCACATCGTGTTTCATTTTAAGTAATTATGCACACATGCACATTTGAGGCAGTGGGAGGGAAATCGGGGGCTGTTGCGCTGTGCAAAAGACGTAACGTAAATTAAAAAACATTAACACTTGCTTAGAAATCAGGCAAGATAAATTGTGGCATCATTAGTCATTAGCTGTGTGAAAAGGGCTAGTCCAGCCCCCACCCAGCCCTCGACTCTCGAATGGTAATCATGTGTGCTTGCTGTTTGCTATAGCTGTCCAATTTTTCACAACCAATTGGCTGGGGATGGAGTTGGGAAAAGGAACGACATGTCCCGGCCGTAAGATACCAGGCATTCATATGTAAATTCTGTGGGTTCTTTTGTTGTTGCGCCGCAGCATTGTTGGGCTGAAAATTATTTATTGAAAGTCATTAAGCCTCAACTGATGACGAAGTACAGCACAGTCTAATGAAAATATTATCTAGTTACTCACATTCAAGTTCTTTCTAATCAGCTAATCACATATACATATTTGAAACAAATCAAAATAGTGAAGAAATCCCAGAAAATCCTTAAATGTGCCTAATTGAAACTGTCATCCATTAAACAAATGCACAGCAAACCAAACCAAAAACCCTGAACAGATTTGCCAAACGGAAGATTTATGGTGTGCCAGAATACATTTCTGTTGATACATATATTTTAGTTTTATTTGAATTCCGTTCCGACTGGAGTCTATGTGACGCTTGTAGGATGTGCCAAAAGTTCATTAATTATGATTGGAGACAGTTGTACAATTAATAAACGAAGCGAACTCCAATCCGCAGCCTTCTCTGGTCAAGGAGGTCCTTCGATTGGGGGGATGGCTTACATATCCAGCAACGGAAGTAAAGTTCTCGCTTGCCACTTTTTCCCCACAAAGTATTTGTTTTCTTTTGTTTGCGCTTTGCGATTATGATCGGACTTTGATTTATGGTTTTATGTGCAAATTTATTGCCTTTAATTGTGTGTTCGCCGCTTACTTAAGTCTCTCTCACTCTTTCTCAAGTGGTGTTAGCTAATTGAAAAAAACTATGGGCCCCTGAGATAAGAAAATAAACTGATTTAGTGGACTAGCAACAAAATGTATACAAAGTAGGAAAAATGGTGTAATATTGTTGTGCAAAGAGTTTTCTCGAACTGCAAATCGGCCTTCTATGCGATTCTCATGAATTTAAGTAGCCTTGCAAATGCTCTGATAAGTGTTTTTTTAACAAGCGTTGGTAGCAACGTACATATTTATGTATGTATATCCACATATATGCATATGCATATGCATATGTGTATGATTGGGAATAAGATAAGACTATTAAAGGAGTCTCTACAAATTAAATAAAATTGCACGGCTCACAATAGCTTTTCTGCTGAGTGTCTAGAGTATGTGAGTGTATGTCCACAGACATACAATAGTCAGCTTCAAATATTTAAATTGATAGCATATAAGACAAACCCCTTGAGCCAATTTCAGTAATCGTAAGCCTTAATTAACATTGAAAACAAACAAATGCGTGTGCGGCCAAAGCCAACAAACAGCCAACCACCCCATTCGAAGGCCTTGCGAACACCTCTAAATGCAAGACGAAAGAAAACCATAAATCTATTTTGAAATGCATTAGACCAGAGGCAAGGACTGGGCAACGGTCAGGCCGTTGCTGTTTACATTGGGCGAGTCAAAATGCCCGGCAGCAAAGTGCATGCAAATTTCAAGGGGAGACGGCGGTTTAAGGTGCATCAACTGAGCTCCAGACAGAAGCGCACAGGTCAACTTTCTGCTGGCCAAAGGAACTGCCAAAACAAATCAACTCGCTGTCAAAGTTGCACCCATGCGTCAAGTCACAGACCCTCCCCTCACACACAAATGCGAACTCCAAAGTCGACATCACCTTTCAATTAATGCATAATTCTCCAATGTCATGGCTGGGATGCTGCTTTGTTGCATTCAACTCCCGGCTGAGACAGCTACTGAGCTGGGGGTTGATTTTACTTAACGCCTCGCCTCAGCACTTAACTTCCGTTTCCTGTTACTTTGCCGACGGCTATGCTTGCAGATGGGTAGCAGTTGGAGCTTAGGTCGGAGTTAAGGCATTTGCAACTAATTGAAAGTGCAATGTGATGCTGCAGAATGCAATTAATGCCTCCAAGCAGCAGAGACCAGTCGCCAACGCAGGGTTTCGTGTCTTTGATTTGTTTTTCCATACCATACCGACTGCAATGCGAAATGCAATAGCCAAAAAAAAAAAGAACTCGAAAGACAAACTTGCTGCTTAGGGTTTGGCTGCAGTTTCCGCTTGGAGTTCAAAGCCAGAACGACAAGACAGGAGAGGTTGCGGATGAGGGTACGGCTCAAATTGCCCAAGGAGCGGGTTGACTAGCAGAGCAGTTGGGTACATTGCATTTCCTGCTGGGTATTTAAGGCAATTGAAAGTCAAATAATTGAAAGAAAATAAGAGTTCTTTGATCACATAATGCCAAATAATTTGACAGACTCCGAGAAATCGCTGTAAGAGTAAGAAATATCAGTTCAGGCTTACTAAAGTACACCGCCATCGCATAAGGGTTAGGAATCGGAGTGGGTTTAGGTGCCTGCGTTTGGGCAAAACAATAAATTGCTTTTTAAACACTTACAACTTACAAGTTGCAGGGTGTCAAGTGCATTTTGGTCTGCTTACCATGCCACGCTGTTGCACGCTTGGCTTAGCTCCACTTGGAAACTGACAACTTTCTAAGAATAACTGCAAAGCGATTTGCATATTTTGCACCTCACCCCGGAGTTGCGGGTTATGGGGGCAGGCGATGCCAACTTTATCGCACACTAAGCAGCCAAACAAGGCACATGCAACATACACCCATACACACACATACGCACACACGCATTCAATTGCCATCTCTTACTCGTAAATCTTGGCCAGAAACTTTGGCAGACATGAAATTTATTTATAAACACAACTTGAAGCACTTGAGTAATGCAGGTTGTATAGCTGTCATACCATAGAAGAAGCTACCCAAGAAGAGGGTAAGAACCTCAAACCATCTTCCATATTTAAGTGGCACCTGCCATACCCTCTTGAGCAGCAAGCACATGTAAGCGAAGAAAACGTTTATAACTCAATTTACAAGTCGATGTTTACCAACAGATATGTATATGATCACTTTTATTATTGTAGATAAGATAAGGTTTTGCTGGTAAATGCAATATGTATTCTCCGTGGAGGGATTTCGCACATATAGTATAAAAAATCAACATTTAAACGATCGTACCTATGATATATCATATGATATAGTGTTACTATCCCTTGGACTGTGAGAGAGAGGAATAGGGAGGGAGAGAGACGGGCAGACAAACAGACATGACCAAATCTACTCGGTGGTTGATAACGTTCAAGAATAACAAAATTAAAAAAAAACAAGTGTTTAAAAAAAACTCTAACTTAAGACATGCAACTTTTTCAAAAAATTCCCAAAATATTTCAGCCCATTTAGATGGAATCTATCTATCACTCCCTAAATACTTTCAGTAATACAAATAAGAGTAGTGAAGTTGTCCGCCTTTTACAACGCATTTAGTATGCCCTGCTGCTCAAAGTGACCCAAGGTGGCTTTCAATGTGTGCAGGACACGTTCATTGGCAAAGAGCTGTTGACGCTTCGCCCTTATGGCCTCGGCGTCTATGAAAGTGTGCACAGTGAAGTCCTCAGCGGCATCCTTAGAGACACAACAGATGGGCAGCTCACAGACGACGGCATAGTAACCGTAGAAGAGACAACGTTCCATTTCATCAAGCAGTTGGGCATAGCTTGGCTGGTTTCCAGGATAATTCAGAGCAGTCAGTGTCTGGCAGAGACTTTCGTTATAGTGCTGCAGCAACTGCTCCCGGTGCTGCAGTAGCACGTCCAACTGCAAGCTGGTATAGCAAAAGAATTGTAGATCAATGGCCGGACTGCCAACAAAACAGTTTTGGAAATCCACCTAAAAGCGAACAGCATCAATTAACATTTAAAATCCAGCTTCTTTTATCTTGAATACTTACAATAATTGCCTTTTTCTGCTCAGGATTGATCATTATATTATTTACCCACAGGTCCCCATGGACAATGACTGGGAAATCGGTGTTTTTGGCATTGACCGTGGCACGTAAGCGCTCGGAGTAATCCCCTGACAGCTGAGCCCGCATTTTAGCAGCTATTGGCGCCATGCCCGGCATTTCGGCCACCACATCTGCTGCATAAGCCGTGCCATCCAAACAAATGACTTGGGCGAAGGGATCACTCACACCATTGTCAAAGTGTGAGGGCGACAGTTGAGCCACCAGCTGGGGCTGCTCGTGCAGCAGCAGCATGGAGGCGGCATGGAACTGTGCCAACTTGTGCAGGCAAATCCGGGCATCCTCCAGAGACAGGCCTTTTTGGCGGTTTAATGATGTATAGCCCAAAGCGCCAAGATCCTCCAGCAAATAGATCTCTTTGGCTTTAGCGCGCTCCGCAAAGAGACAACTGGAAAAATATTTTGATTAGATAATTACATTACGAAATTGAAAGGTTAACTTACTCAGCGCTCAACTTGCGCTCCTCCAGCGAAGTCTTCCCCAATAACTGCGCCATGGCGGGCAGTATCTGCTCGAACATGAATTTCTCATTGGAGCCCACCTCGGCAACAATGGGCAGCAGGTCCTTAAGTATATAATTTCCCTGCTCTAACGGCGCATTTTCGCTTTTGCGATATGCTACTTTTATCCGGTAGATGACGCTACAAAAGTTTTCGCCGCGCTGACTAACTGCCTCACTGTGAAAGCTTTCTATACGCAAATTTGCGCTTTTATACGCGCGTGCCAGAGCTTTTGCTATATAGTCGGAATCACAGGTTGTTTGAGTAGCTTCTGCTGCCTGCTCTGCAATTAGATCCATGCTTTATTTTTCTATCGCTGCTCCGTCCACGTCCGTCGGCGGCCAGTTGTTCCGAAATACTGACCGTTTAAACTTTGACGCTATTATGAAATTCTAACCATTCAATTGAGCGGCCCTAATCGTGCCCACGCTTATCAATCTTGACTACTTGTTTTAGTTTACAAACAACATATCTCATTATTCATTGGAACAATTTCATAACATTTCAGTGCGCTTTGTCTCTCGTGCTCTCCCTCTCTCTCTCCTTTCACTTTCTCTCTCTCTCTCTCTTTTTCTCTCTCTCTCTCTCTCTCTCTCTCTCTCTCTCTCTCTCTCTCTCTCTCTTTGTTTTAACACATTGCGTTACAATTATTACAGAAAATGGGGAACCTTAATAATGCATACATATACATATATAATACTATCCAGATAAATTTATTATAAGTATTTAAATTTAATCAATCAAGCTAGGTCTAATAGATACAGGATTTATCGAGTTCATTATCAGTTAAAATAAACGATCCACCATAGAATGTTTGTTCAAAGTTCAAGTAGAATATAGCAGTCATACCACTGGAAAGGCGGTAAGAAGAACTCTGCTAATTTGGCTTTGAAATGTTGGCGATTGCACGTGTAAATAGCAAGTTAACATCTTTATCTACACGACAGCAAGAAATGACAGTTATTTTGGGGCGCGAAGATTGAATACCCTTGCAGACATATAGACCGAAATTTGTTACCGAAGCTTCATATATAATATTAAAGCTAAATAATATCGCATTCCCGTAGGATAATAAAATTATTTTCACCATGAAAGCGTGGTAAAATTTAATCAGTTCGGTTAAGATGTGAATATTTAAAAAGAAAAACCGTTTTCATAGCACATAACTATGTACTGATCAAGATATACATACTTAATAGGGCCGAATATGTATTTTGCAGGAATATAATTTATACCCCAGTGCTCGATTGCGAAATACCCTGTAGAGACACACAATCAATATGAATCTACAGTATTCATTTTAAGAAAACTACCGTGTTAATGACATCGCAAGGGCTCTTAAAAACTATAAAGAAAACCATATATGCATATTGTTTTCAAAGCATAGGGTATATAAATAACGGATATAAATTACTTACTTTGGTAACAAATAGATTTGATTGATTGGAGTCTCAGCACGCAGCTGCGATTTATTTGATTGGGTAATTTAAAACACGAGCTTGCATGTTCCGTGCACAAACACAATTTTAAATCTAGCACATAACAGTCTCAATAGCATTAATAATATAATAACGCATTTTATTTAATAAGCAGATTATTTTTTCAAGGCGCGAACACCATTTGCAAAATATTTATCGATATTTGCAGCTTGAATATCGGAATAAGGAAACAGCTGATCGACGTCTTATCAAACAGACGCGCTACGCACAATTATTAAATTTGAGACGTGCGTCTGCATATCTTCATGCAATGACTCGATAACTCAACCGCGCACATCTAACCATCATTAAAGAGCACCAAGAACATATAATAACGCTAAACAATTTAATAACTATTAATTGTTTATTCACCAACAAGCACAAATGCCGCGCAGACTGCGGTGGTAGCAACACAAATTATTTTGAATACGGTAACACTGGTATCGTCCATACGATATCGATACTTAAAACCCATTTATCGGCATGTGCGTGTGTTACAACTTTTGCAACACTTTGCCAAATAACCTCAAATCATCGTCCAAACCCAGCTCATTGAATATATTAATAAACGACAGTTATTACAAAGGACTTCTGTGGCCGCACATGGCCAGCGGCAGCGCCAAGCGGCAGTCCACGATGCCAGCCAAGAGAATGCCAGCAACAGCGCAACCAGTTGCCGCAGCCAGCAGCAACAACAGCATTGCAGCGTCGGCAACTCCCGTTGCTGCGCCCCTCAGCAACATGTCAAACGGAATGTCCCGTCTAACGCCAGCGAGAGACTTGACCCTGGGCGGCCGCGGTGCCAGTGCGGCTGCTAAGAAAGTCTTCGCGCCCAATTTAAATGCAGTGCGCAACAAAAATATGTGAGTAGTAGGAGGCAGCGAGTCAAGGATTCATCAGAATAAAAACATTTACTTTTACAGCAACGTGAAGACGTCGAAGGACTTTACGCAGCCACGTGGTGGTCGTCGCGGTGCTCGTGGCGCTGGTGGAGCAACGCGCGGACGTGGAGCTGGCAATGGCAACTCCACACTCATACAAACGACCGGCGTTTTCTCAGAGGGCGCTGGTGCCGTGCATTTGCGCAAATCCTCAAGCGGTGGCTCGTCCTATACGCGCGCCGGCGACGAAGTGACTATACCCCGAAAACGCAAGGATGACAAATCCCAGGAACAGCGAGTGCGGGATCTGATAGGCAGCGATGACAGCGATGACGACGAATCCGTCAGTGATGAAAGTGAGCTTGATAAGACTGAACTGAACTTCAAACCGGTGATGCTAACCGAAGGTAAGTGCAACCAGTGAGCAACCATCTAGTCAAGAAATAACTCATTCATACTTTCTTTCCAGGACTGTGGCACACCCAAAAAGGCAACATAAAACAGGAAACAGTGCTCATTCCAAAACCAAATCCGGATGAAAAAGGTAAGCACAAGCCACATAACCAAATGACAGATCGTAATCTGTTTTTTCTTGCAGAGTCGCTAGCTGTAGCCCAGCATATGCAAAGCCTGCACGTAGGTGTCCACGCTGGCATGGAGGAGCCACCCGCACAATACGGACGTTATCCGCGCAGTATTGGCGCTTTTCTCGATGCGCCACAGTCCCAGCTCTTTGTCATGCAGCTTCCCAACGTGCTGCCCTGTGTGGCAGACGAAGCCGAAGATGTGCCTGCAGCCACAGAGCAGCCAGCGTCTAGTGGCTCGGCAGAGCAACCCAACAGTCCAACGTCCACAACCGCGGCAACCGGTACGCCCAAGCCCAGTCTATTGACACAGTTGGAGGAAGGCCAAATTGGCAAGATATTAAGATATCGTTCGGGCCGCGTTAAATTGCTGCTGGGCGACACACACTTCGATTTGGACATGGGTCTGGACTCGGGTTTCTTACAGGTATGTCAAAAAACTTAAACCTTTTAAAGTTTATATAGCATCCTTGCGTTTTGTAGGAGCTCATGTCCATCAGCAGCAATCGGGAGCAACGCAGCGGAAACATGATCAATCTGGGTCCAATCCAGGCCAAGCTAAAGGCCACTCCCGACTGGGTGCATCTCTTTCAGCAGCAAGAGACAGCCGCCAGGCAACCAACATCCGCGACAACTAGCATACCAACAGCAACTGGCTCTGCCACCACGTAGCACTCACTAGACTAGGGCTGAGTCCGTTTTGTTTTAGTTTAGTTTAGGAGCATATAATAATTCTGTAAATAGGCCGACTAAGTCTAAGTTATTTAACTGCATTGATTACAAGTACTCTTTATTTTTTAATATAAGAAATATCTAGTCTTAGCTAGTTAGAGACTGCGTACTACGCCCCCTAAGCATGTTGCCCTCCAGATCGATTGCATAGTTGTGATCCACGGGATTGGCCAGTGCCGTTTCAATAGCCGAGTCCAGATTATCACGTGTGATGAACGTCTTGGATTGCTCGATTTCATGGCGTATACGCTGATCGGCACGCTCGCGTTGCTCCTCTGCACGGAGTTTACCCGCTTCAATGCGATCCTGGATGTAGGCAACCTTTTCTTCCCGCTCCTTGGCCAAGCGGACTTCGCGCTCTTTAGTAATCTGTGCATTCCAAGCGGCATTCACATCGAGACATCGCTGGAACTCTGCTTCCTCCTGCTCGGGTGTGAATACTATGTGATCCGCCGTCGACGTTTCCTGCTGCCGAACCACCTCCTGCCGCAAATATTGCCGAACAGAGCGCAACTGGGTTCTAAAAGAATGTAAATATATTATAGTCACTTCTTAATTTTCGTACATGTTTTGTTTTACTCACTTGTAGTTATTGTGCAGCCGCATTAGCTCCGTGCGCTCCTCTTCTGACTGCTTCTTTCGCTCGGGCACGCGGAAAACTTTGCTCTTGGCCACCGGCAGCCAACGCGGCTTCCGCCGCCAGCGAACGAATTCCAAGGCGAAGTTGTTGCTGCCTGTCTTGGCTGCCGCCACGGTGGACGGATTGAACAATTGACAGCCTGCGCGCAGCATATTTTCCAAGGTATTTGTTTTTCTTTTACAAAATTATTTTTCAATAATTTCGCGTTGTTACGGCATCAACCCACGTTCGATAATACGAGGTGAACTATCGATAGTTGGTATACCCAGTACCCATTACAATCGACAAGTTTTGGGCATACCGGGTATATTTTTTTTTTTTCCCTTTACAGTTTTGATCTCAGTGATGAATAATGAATTAATTCTATTCTTATTTGGAAACATGTCTGTTGAAACGTTTTGAAATTTTGTGTTGAAAATGATTAATTAATAACAAGAATTGTGTGTGTGATGTGTGAAAGATATTCTAACCACAGGGTATCTCCTCGTCAGTGTTTTTGACAAAATGTGTCTTGTGTATCGATTATTAGTACACACATCGATTAATTTTCGGCAGCATGTCATCAAAGGAACTATGGAAACATTATAAACAAATTGATTTTGAATTTCAAAAAATTGGAAATTCAACATTTTCAGACAGAATCGCATGTAATAGAAAATAGCTGGCGACATGGACAAGCCCCAGCTAATCGAACATTTACACGAATCCGTGAACTACACGGTGTACGATACGAAATGGATACCGCTATCGGCAAAATTTGTGGTGCTTGGCTGCAAGCCGAATAGCCATGGAATTATGGACATCTACGAGCTTAACGAGCAAAAACTGGAGAAGGTCAAGACGGTGGAGAAGAAGGCGGCCTTCAAGTGTGGCACCTTTGGTGCCTCCTCCCTGCGCAACCGACACATGGCCATTGGTGACTTTGAGGGGCGACTGCAGGTGCTGTGAGTATATAAATTGTAGCCCTGCTATCAATATATAATACATGGCTAACTCTCGAAGTGATCTGGAGCATCCGGAACTGGCCGTGTACAACGTGAAGGCCCACACCGGAATTA